GGAGTTCTGGCATTTGAAAACGGAGTTCTGGCATTTGAAAACTGAGCTCTGGCATTTGAAAACGGAGTTCTGACTTTTGAAAAGGTAGTTTTGGCATTTGAAACGGGAGTTCTGGCATTTGAAAACGGAGTTCTAGCAGTTGAAAAGGGAGTTCTGGCATTTGAAAACGGAGTTCTGGCATTTGAAAACTGAGCTCTGGCATTTGAAAACGGAGTTCTGACTTTTGAAAAGGTAGTTTTGGCATTTGAAACGGGAGTTCTGGCATTTGAAAACGGAGTTCTAGCAGTTGAAAAGGGAGTTCTGGCATTTGAAAACGGAGTTCTGGCATTTGAAAACTGAGCTCTGGCATTTGAAAACGGAGTTCTGACTTTTGAAAAGGTAGTTTTGGCATTTGAAACGGGAGTTCTGGCATTTGAAAACGGAGTTCTAGCAGTTGAAAAGGGAGTTCTGGCATTTGAAAACGGAGTTCTGGCATTTGAAAACTGAGCTCTGGCATTTGAAAACGGAGTTCTGACTTTTGAAAAGGTAGTTTTGGCATTTGAAACGGGAGTTCTGGCATTTGAAAACGGAGTTCTAGCAGTTGAAAAGGGAGTTCTGGCATTTGAAAACGGAGTTCTGGCATTTGAAAACTGAGCTCTGGCATTTGAAAACGGAGTTCTGACTTTTGAAAAGGTAGTTTTGGCATTTGAAAACGGAATTCTGGCATTTGAAAACTGAATGTTGGCATTTGAAAACGGAGTTCTGGCTTTTGAAAACGGAATTCTGGCACTTAAAAACGGAGTTTTGGCATTTGAAAAGGGAGTTCTGGCATTTAAAAACAGAATTCTGGCTTTTGAAAACGGAGATCGGACAAATAGACAGACAAATAGACAGGCAAACAAACAGATAGTCAAACAAACAGATAGATAGGCCACGGCGGACATAGAATGTCCAATATAAATAAGATGTACTTTTATTAGTTTAATTAAGTTTAAATATATTTAACCCATATTTTCTTACAGATGAAAAAGAGACTGGCAAAGACTTTGGAAACAACAAAATTTGCCGGTTCCCCTATAATTGCAGTTGCTGCCAAACCAGACAGTCCAGACGAAGGCGCTACAGAATCACTGGGCATGAAAGAGATGACAGAATTATTGACGGCCAAAGCGTACGTCCCTCAGCGAAACAACAGTGGCCCTTTCCTGTTTGCCGTCGACCATTGCTTCTCTGTCCGGGGGCAAGGAACCGTCATGACAGGGACAGTGTTGAAAGGCAGTGTATCCGTGAATGATAATGTTGAGATCCCGTCTTTGAAAGTCGTTAAAAAGGTCAAATCCATGCAGATGTTTCGACAACCTGTTTCAACAGTCAGCCAAGGTGATCGAGCCGGCATATGTGTGACGCAGTTCGATCCAAAACTCTTAGAACGAGGGCTAGTATGTCAACCTTCTAGCATACCAACTATTTTTGCCGGCATTATTTCTGTGGAAAAAATCCAGTATTATAAAGGGCCAGTCGCTTCCAAAGCTAAGTTTCATATCACAGTTGGACATGAAACAGTGATGGGAAAGGCTCAATTTTTTGGGCTACCTGTGTCAGTAGACCCGTCGCCGAATACAGAGGATTTCGACTTCTCACAAGAGTATATATTTCAAGAAGAATTGCATGAAGTATCTAAGGGGAAAGATAAGGAAACTGCTGTCAATTCAGAGCCTTTGGTGAACGTAGAACAGCAGTATGCTGTTTTAGAGCTTGAGAAGCCAGTCACATGTCCAAATTCAAGCCTTGTGATTGGCTCTCGTCTTGATACAGATATCCATTTAAACACTTGCCGTCTTGCATTTCATGGAAAGTTTTTGACAACGTTTACGGACAAGAATTACACCGAAACCAGTTTGCCAGAATTAAGAATTTTTAAAAAGAAAAGTCGAGTTGGGGAAGTGGAGAGGGCGGTCGACGAGTACTCGTTAGTTGGGAGAGGGCTTTTTAAGAAGGAGACTAACATGGCGTTATTTTCTAACCTCAAAGTGAGGCTCTCCACTGGTGAAGCCGGGGTTATCGAAGGTGGATTTGGGCAAAGTGGAAAATTTAAGGTTCGAATCCCTGCAGGTTTATCTCCCGAGAGTTTTAACGTGATGAGCGCTGGGCAGCGGAAGAAGGGTAAGGGTAAAGGTGTGAGCGCAGAGGAAGGTGGTGAGAAGGTGGCGTCAGTGAAAATTATCTTGGATTTTAAAAGATATGTTTTTGATCCTGAAAAGAAAATGATTCAAACATAAACATTACCAGTCATAACTTTAAAATGTGAATGAAATAATCAATGGTGAATGGACAACTTGCATGTTAGACTAAATTTTAATCTAAGTAAAGAGAAGGGAATCAAACACCACAGCTAAAAAGAACATATTGAAATTAGTAAAATTGCAAAATTTGGTTGCGAAATGTTGTAAAGCTTGGAAAATATAGCCTTGCGAAGTTTGCATATTTTGTATATGTTTGTATTACGTGCGGAAATTGTTACCATTTTTGAGCCGAAAATGGTAACAATTTCCGACGTGCGGAAATTGTTACCATTTTCGGCTCAAAAATGGTAACAATCTCCGCACGTAATACAAACATATACAAAATATGCAAATACGTGCGGAAAGTGTTACCATTTTCGGCTCAAAAATGGTAACAATTTACGCACGTAATACAAACATATACAAAATATGCAAACTTCGCAAGGTTATAAAACAAAAATAAAACAAAAGTTATTCCGAATAAGAAGTGCATAATATTAACACACAATTTATTAAAACTGTATATTTCGAATCTAAATCAGATTCATCTTCAGCAGTGTTTTGCAAGATATGTCGTATAACAACGACAACGACATATCTTGCAAAACACTGCTGAAGATGAATCTGATTTAGATTCGAAATATACAGTTTTAATAAATTGTGTGTTAATATTATGCACTCCTTATTCGGAATAACTTTTGTTTTATTTTTGCTGAAATTATCAGCCGGAAAAGGATTCGCAAGGCTGTATTTTCCGTATTTTACAACATTCGTAACCAATAAATTTTGCAATTTTACTAATTTTAATACTGGGTAAGTTCTTTACAGGAATTTACTTTTTTTGCCTAGATCAAAAATTAGTCTAACAAGCAAGTTGTCTATTCCTAAATTGTGTGTAGTCATAGTAGGTCTAAATATACAAAGATATTATTGTAGTGATAAAGTGACAGTCAGCTCCGTTCTGCTCATGCGCAAATTTTTATTGGCATTCTTAAATAAAGTTTTAACTTCGATCTACTCCGCACCGCTGGTCGGCCCTTGATTCTTGTGTGTGGACTCGCTATTCCTAGAATTCTGAGGACATTTTTTGCAGATTGCAATAAAAGAAAATTTCTTTTATAATTATTCGAAAATAAAATACAATTTATAACTAAATGGATGGATTTGCACTTGCTAGTGGCGTGGGAAGCCTAGTTTTTGCTGGGCTCTGCTATTCTGTCTACAGAAACATGAAAGATGTGGCAATTCATTTAAAGGTATGTGTGTCATGGCTGATCAAATTCGGTTTAGTATATTTGACCGGCATTTATGAATGCTTTCGAAACGTCCATGATTTAGTAGCAAAGCCAACCAATTTTCTTTGCACTTGCACTACCCAAAAAATGGGTTTTAAGTCTATTTGTTGTTTTTATTTCATGTTTTAATTTGTTGATACATGTTGGTCATTTGGTGCATGGTGTTGCAGTGAATGCAGTCTGTTGGTGATTTATAAATACATTGTCCTATATTAGAGGGTAGAGATCGTTTATCCTTCAAGATACATTATCTGTTAAACAGCAGTGGCATGCTGGCTCGTGTTTGTCAGGGAAGGCCACTTCAAAATGTCCATTGTTATATAACATTTTGAAACTATGTGTCGGTGGGGGGGTGTGAGAAGTTTGGTTTCATTTCATGGATTTTTGGTGCCCCCTTTTGCGCTTCCCTAAAATTCCTCGGCACACCGCTGTTCAACAGATTATCTGAGACAAACAATCCAGATGAACTAGCTCACAAAACAGCATGATCTATGTGGGAGTGGTTCTTGACACAAATCGTGACGATGTATTCATAGTTTGTCTAATAATCAGTGTATTTGTGCACCCAGACAGATCAACTGTCAAAACATAGTTTGTCACACAGCAGTTTGCTGTGCTTATTACCATTTGCATTTCAAATGTTACCCCATGCTGTGATAACAAGTTTGTTTCCGGGTTTTGCAGCCAACATTGTGATCGGACAACTCATGTTTCACATGTCAAAATATTGACGACATAAGTGTAACTGATAACTATGAGCCCCAACTACTGTGTTATAGCAAGTCCGATGTACTTCCATTATCCCTTATTTTGACATTCTCAACCAACAGAATGCAGAAAGTCTGGATGTAGGTAAAGACTTACTGGAGAAGATCAAGTCGGCGCCCAACCATACCTTGGACTATGTTGCAATACGTGGTGACGCCAAAGCCCTGGAGTCTACATTAAAAACTGAGAATGTTCCATTGGCGAGACTTTTAATTCACAGGACAACTGTATATGAGCATAAATCTGAATGGGTCCGATCTTCAAAAGTATGGTAAGTTAGGGCCAAATTTCATATACACAATACACAATACACAATTCTCGATCTTGGCCCTAACCTTATCCTTAATCAGCTCTAATCCTAACTGTAATTAGGATCCTATTCCTAATTCAAACCTTAAATACAAGAAAGTAGGATGAATTGCAGCTTAACCTCTGAGTGCATCATGGGCAGATTTACTGGGGGGTTAAACCCCTCATATAATCTCTCTAACCTCTCCTTATAACATAAAGTGTTCAACCCCACGAAAATTTTGCTTCACCCTTCCTATTTTGTGTGAAAGTCTTTAACCTGCCTAACCCCTGGGGAAGCTCGCTCAGTGGTGCCGCTTGCACCCCACCAGAAATTTTTCTACCCCTCCTTTAAAAAAAATGAAAATCCACCCTTGGAGTGCATGCCAGCACTCTGTCCTTGATAAGTAAAATCGTTAGATCGTATTAAACAGAATAAAATATTGTAGGGTGCAGGGTGCAGTTTAATGGGTTGGTTATTTTATTTTCAGGCATGACACAAAACGTATGATCAGTTCAGTTGTTAACCATGTCTCATTTTCATTGAACTCTGCAAACTCAAGTCACCGAGTCATTGTAGATGAACCACTTTCCATGTCAGGCTTGGAGTACAGCAGAATCTACAATAAATACGACCCCTTGAACTCGCTTTCTGTCTCAACTAACATTGTCCAGTGGGCCAGTGGGGAAAAGACGAAAGGAATTCAAACAATTGAAGATGGTTTACTGGATGGAACTGCTCTCACGGCCGTTGGAAAAGTCACATTACGAGGTGGTACACTAAAAATAAAGCACCCTGATACCTATGAGTATATTCTAAGTAAATTACCTTTGGAAGGAATAATACGAGAAAAGACTAGGTCTATTCGACGATGGAAGTATGTTACAATAGGTTTTACAATTACTGGAGGGGTGCTACTTTTGATGTGGTTGTATCGACAGTGGCGACGAAGGTCGCAACAGGTTATTGGTGGTAATAGGTTTATTCCACCTGCACCTCCACCTATCTTTGATAAAGGGTTTGACCAGAGCGTGTCGGAGGCAGGCGAGGAACAATCGTGTGTCATCTGTTTAACACAGCCTCGGAATGTGGTCATTCTAGATTGTGGACATATTTGTGCGTGTAGAGCGTGTGCAACGCAAGTTGATACATGTCCTATTTGTAGAGCAGAAATTGCACGACTCGTGCCAACCTATCAGAGTTGACATAGTTTTAGATAGAATAAATGACAAAAGATTATCAAAATATATGTAATTTGGTAATCGCAATGAAATGTCTAAAATAGAAATGTCTAACAAAGTATTGCTCGATAGCTGGTAATGTAATAGTGGTATCATTTTGTTATATATTTAACCCGTTGAGCCCCAGTGTGCCTTTTAACTTGTCTAACGCCAGAGACAATTTCACTTGTCAATGGGGAAGCTCTTCCGCCTCTGTGGCTTAATGGATTTAGGTTAATTATGTGTGCCAATGCCCTTCCTCCCCTTCACCACAAGTTTGGGGAAAATTTCACTTACACCCGGACCCCGCCCCCCCTCCAAAAAACAGGGTCAGTGCTGCCCCTGGCCACAGAATACTACACAGAAGTCCATCTTCATTGTTTTTAGCGTAAGCTCTATTCGTCATGATTCGTCACTCAGCAAGTACCGCAAACAGAAGCAGTCACCCCCCTGGAAATACTAAAAATGGCGCACGTCCAGGGGGGTGACTGCTTCTGTTTACAGTACTTGCTGAGTGACGAATCATGACGAATAGAGCTTACGCTAAAAACAATGGAGATGGACTTCTGTGTAGTATTCTGTGCCCTGGCTCTGGTTGAGAACATCTCCCAACCTGGAGAAACAGGACGTGCCCAGAGAAATTTACATTTGCAATTTTTGCTGCAATTTCTAGTACAATTTTCTCCTTCTGATGCATGTGAACGAGTAGATGAGTTAAAATGTGCTAAATATTCATTACTTATCCACTTGTTCACATCCATCAGAAGAAGAACATCGCACCTAAAATCGCAGCAAAAATTGCAAGTGTAAATGAGCCTATATAGACATTTAACACACACTTTTATAGAGTGAAGGTGCTTGCTCTCACAAATGTGACGCTGCACCATTGAAGCCCAAATGTGAAGATGTGCAGGAAGGTGCCCCGCTTCCACCCTAGGTTGTAAACTTCTCAACCTCGTTCCCAGGGCCTTAAACTTCCAGCAGTGAAGACAAGTACCCCATTTCCACATTATAGCAGCCCCCAATTTAGAAAAGGTCAAAATTGCACAGAATCTCGACAGGGGGGGGGTTGTTTCTGCAAAATACAGTGCACTTGCTATATATATACAGTTTTCAAATTATGACGTCATAATCGCGAGCCCGCGATATTTTCGGCGGCCTCGTGCAAGCAAATCGTCTTACGTCATGTTATAAGAAGTATAGTGTGTGTTAGTGTGTTCCCGAAAATATCGACCAACGTGGAGACAGATAGTTACTCTGTTGTGAATAAATATAATGTTTTGACTTGATATTTCCTTTATGAGTAACAATTGTAGTATATGTTTCGAAGCTCTATCAAGGGCGGACGTTTTAAACGTACTGAGCAGCGATATACGAAGGGAGTTGAAAGATGTAGTCGTATTCTCGCTTGAAGCACCGTTGTGTGACGACAGCAGATTATGCAAATCTTGTCATGCTGAGTTAAACGTGCGGATGAATATCAAAGCTAACCTTCGAGAGACAGATCAACGAATCAGACAAATCAATCATGGTGCGATAATTGCAAAGGTTCGTCCAAAACCTACTCTGATAGAAAGACAGTCACCACAACGAGGGGAAATGAATATTTTTCGTGAGAAATATACGCGAGAAGCGTCTGGTATAAAACTTGGAAACGCTAGCTTGCTTGGTTGCGTCAAAAGCGAGGTCAAAAGTGAGGGAATTTCTTCGTTCAAACACGAAAATGGGAGCGTTAAAAGTCTTAAAAGTGAACAGTTATGCAAAGAAGCAGATAGCTCTTTATGTGAGCTTGCGAAAGAGCTGTGGGGCGATGATGTGAAATGTAAAGAGACGTCAAATAAGGAAAATATGTGAGTATATTATTATATTTTTGAGATGAAATATTCGCGCCAAATTGCGTCTTGAACTTTGAACGGATTCCCCAGAGACCATGTCGGAGTTTGCAATAATGGAGAACTGGGGGCGAGATACGAAATACCATAAAAATGTCAAAAATATTTTTTGTAACTGCTTAATATTATCAAAAAGTGGTTAGTTACTGTAAGCTAAGGCTGTTTCTCATTTACAATGGTAAAATTAGTGGAGAAAAAAAATTAAAGGTTGAAAAAAAGCGCCTGCTCCTGGAGAGGCTCGAACTCTCGACCTTCGCATTTCACGGCATATATGGCGAGCCAAAGCCACGCCCATACTGCTTATAAGTACGACGCGCTAACCGACTGTGCCACAGGAGCTGGACATCGAGTAGGCGAGAATTTATTCTATATGAAGGTACACTCAAAATTTCCGGGCGGTCAACAATTGGTCCAAAGCATGTTTATTATAATATGAAAATTTTACGAATTTTATTTGTTTTGTAACGTAATATTTTTCATTAGCATCCGTCGAAATCAGTTTTCGTTGTAAATCTCGTATTCTAATACTTCACCTTCTTTTTTCGTTTTTTACTTTCAATATTTTGGCTTTTGATATCGTTTTGGCACCGCACAAGGCCTGCTTGGAAGAAAATTTGAAAATTATGTAACTATTTATTAATATTGCAATCTTGGCATTTTCACTAAATTATAAAGAGGCAAGCTGCCAAGGTCAAGGTATAAGCATTCGACGTAAGATACAATATTTAACAAAACATTGACATTGAATAATTCGTCTGAATGTTTAGTTTTCGGGCAATAAACTTTGATATTTTTTATTTCGCGGAATAAAACATACCAGTTCGCTCAGCAGAAAAAAGCGCGGGGGCCTCGTATCAACCACGTGACTTCCCGACATATAAAACTCGTGAGGAAGACAGATAATTTCTAAAACTAAAACAAAATTTACTGAGAGCATGTTGTTTGAAACTTATTTGGAGGTTTTAAAAAACGATGTCGTGGCTCAACAATGGCATGGAGCACGAGTCGGATCTCTTATCTGTTGCCTTAGGGGAAAGTGGGCTTGATTTAGACGCTCACGGACCGCTTTCAAACCTTGGAAAAAACGAAACTACGGAGCATAACTCTGGTTTAGCTGGTGCTACATTGTCACTTGAATCGACCTCTACACCTAATGATCTACTCAATTGGGCGTTTTTACTATCAAATACAAACAGTCAGAACTTAGCATCAACTCAAGATGGTTTATCGAATCTTTTTGAACCTTTTGGCGAGTTTAAACCTGCGAGTGAGCACCCAACTATAAACAATAAAACGTCTATTCCCAATTCCAAAGACCTACAGGCACATTTCGACCTGTATTTAGGCAACGGGGATTTTAATACTGTACCACAGTATACAAACAGAAGTAATTCTCATTTGGGAACTTCATTAAAAGACTTACTCTCTACGGAAGATATCTCAGGCAGTTTGACTAAAAAAGCCGTCAATGGATTAAGTGTAAACAGCAAAGATCCAACAAGGAAGTATGTCATAATTATATGACGTTTAAATTTTTAGAAAAGCTTTTTGAATTCATGGTTTAAGTTTTGAGACTTGTTATCCATAGTTTTTAACAGAGGAGGTATGTAGTTTTAAAGTTTTAGCGAGAGCGTTTGCCACGAAATGTCAGATGACATAATTTCGTATGTTAATTGTTCCTAGAAATATGTCATCCTTTGAAATTACCGTCGACCATTATGTCATTCCTTTTCCCAGACTCTGGGAAAATGTTTTGCTGAGAGTTTTACCTTGCAAGGCCATGAGATAATTAAGGCCCTAAATTGTTTGATATCAGAAAAACTTGCTGTTATAAATATAACACAGCCAAGAGCTTTTGTTTACCCCAGGCTTACAATAAAACTATAAAAACCTTTCCATTTCCCCATTTGTAGTCTGTTGTCATTTGTAATTTATTGTGGCGGTGAGCAAATTGGGTCATTCTAGAAAACATGCAGACTCCCACAGGAAATTGGAGATTAATTACACTCGCACACACCCTTCAGACATCCTGATACTTTACTATTACCAAAAGTAATTTTAAGAGGCAATTTTTTTCGATGTCATGTATTTGGAATGAATAGTGTTGAAAATCTAAAATGTTTTTGGCGTTGTTCTAAAAATTACCTTTTAGCTTTATTCTCTAGTTTATAGAGTTAGCAACCTTTTTATATGCATCTGCCGGTTGAGAAACATAAAATAATAGTTAAAAATTGTCAATTAAAATACAATTATCAATGATGCTTTAAAATTGACGCCATATTTACAGCCATATAAGCAAAACTTAGTGAACTTCAGGCCTCATTTTCACTTTGGCGTATCATCTAAAATCTTTTCATTTTAACATTATTTTACAGATAAAGCGCTAAACATAATTTTTAGTTTGTTTGCCGATTGAGAAACGTATCGAAACCCCAAGTGGTATATTACATTAGTTTTGAGCGCCTGTTACGTAACATACAAAAAATCTCTCTTCATTATTTTAATTATTAATTTATTTACTATTACCAGAAGTAATTTTAATTATTTTAATTAGTAATTTATTTCATTAATTTGCCCCAAAACAACTTGCATTCAATAGCCATAATAAAAAAATATTTACAAGAGTAGTGCTTAGTATGAACCTTCCAGAAAGTTAGAAACCATATGGTTTTTATATGGTTCCTAGCTCAAAATGTAACAGAAATAAACAAAAGTAACAAAAATGCACCCTTCTTAGAAATTATCGCATATTACACATAAAACACAGAAAACTAAATTTTATTGCCGTATTTGCTCATAAATTGGTAAACTGACAACAGACCACACTAGCAAAAGCGGGGAAATTTTTGTATTTTGACTGTAATAAGAGTGAATGATTTTTTATGTTTGGCATCAAAATGTTTCAGCATTTAAACTAGTATAACTGGCTTATGTACCTGTTTGACAGATTTTTGGCAAAGGTGTGATTTCTGCTGACTAACTTTATGCTGACTAAGTAGATTTTTAGTTCCCTTTTGAGTGAAAGTTGCTTACAAGACAAGTTTGATTAAATAACTCTTGTACTAAGGTAGTTATATACAACTAGTTTCAATAGCTTGTATAGTCTAATGTAGTTGGTTTGTATAATGTTTGGCTTGACTTATACAGTATATGAGGTGGATAATTCATGTGAGGTGGAAACTTTGGTAAAGAAAAGGTAGTTTGATAATTTGTCTGTGTATATAAATATGGCTAAGAGATTGATCGTCTCGCATCTGTGAAGACACATTTTTTGTGTGGTCTTCACAGACAAACTTGCTGATGTAGTTCATCTTGATGTGGATGATCTGTCCATGGATATAAATCATTGATCTTTAGAGAGTTGTTATGTGAATTATATCAAAACATTATTAGGATCTTTGCCAGTATATGGTTGATAATTCATCTTGAATTAATTAACACACAAGACAGACCTGTCAGACAGGTTGTGTCTTGATGAAAACAAAGCTGTTGACAAATAGCGCTCATTGACACATGTATTTTTTTTACTTAATTACAGACAAAATACAAGAACCTTTCCGCTTCTGTAACTTGTTTTGTATTTCTGTAATTTGTTCTATTTTTTCTGTAGCGATTACCGCTTTATCTGCAAATATCGTGGTAGAATTTCCCTTGTAACAAAGGATACACCTTTCATTAGATTCTTTGCATAAAAGTTTACGTCAAATGATCGTAGTCGGTAATTTTAAATTTGTATAGTATGAACACACTATGAGCGGCGGTTTAAAACCAATTTATCAGCAAATATCGCTTAAGATCTAAGTTTCGCAACTTTTATGCAAAGAATTTTACGAAAGGTGTATCCATTGCTACAAATTGACATATATAAAGGAAGGAAAGTGAAATTCTACCGGACCGGACTGGAATATTTGCCGATAAAGCGGTAATCGCTACAGAAAAATAGAACAAATTACAGAAATAAAGTGGGAAGGTTTTTGTATTTTGACTGTAAAGGTTGAGAAGTACCTACATGTAATAACAGTGACATTCAGTCCATAAAATAAGCATAATATGTACTTAATTGTCCAAAAGACACAAATAGCAAAAAATAGGTACGCTTGGTGTACATGTATCTGCGAGAAAGTTGCCATTGTTTTACTGCCTGTTTGCAGGCGTACAACCCTAATTAGTTGACCTGAGTGTTGAACACACACACAACTCGATAGCATAGTATCTAGCGCTAAGCGCAGATACAAAAAGTATGTGCAGACATGCTTGAGGCAAATTTTGGGCATGTATGCTCAGAAGAGCCCCTTCCCGGCACTTTCTCAATATATGAGCGACCAAAATCTATTACATATGAATGATATAATTAATATATGAGGTAAGGTGTTGTGTATATATCGTGAAAGCACCCCAGACAAACTGTCTCGCGCATAAATCTGTTTATTCATGCTACCTTGCTGTTTTTAGAGACGTTGTGAAAAATCTTTGGGCAAATGAAGACCTAAAGCTCAGTGATGTCACACAGGTGGGTCATTTTGAAACTTGTCAGAGCAAAAGGGGAGGGTGGGGGCATAGATAAGGGGAGGGTAGTGGCATAGTGAAAGGGGAGGTGGGGTATAGGGTGTACACCCTACAGGTAGACCTGTTGGCAAAACCTTATTCCCTAACAATTTCGGCATTGACCACATCCCAACCATATCAAAACCATGCTCATTTTGTCAGCAAAACTAAGGCCTGCACACCCCCCTCCCAACCAACCACCCCCTCCAACCACCCACCCCCTCCAACCAACCACCCCCTCCAACCAACCACCCCCTCCAACCACCCTCCCCCAATTATAATACACTCATGCCTTAATTTGGTCTGACCACTTTTCAGGCTGACCCGAAATCCAAAGAGGAGGAGGAAGATGCAGATGAGGAGGAGGAGGATCTTGGATACTCTGACACATATGCTGAATACTGGCCCAGCAAATGTAAGTCTTAGGCCCATTTCAGACGACGTACTTCTCGTGTGCCAAACTTAATTGATGAATTAGGTACGGCAGAAGAGCGACGTATGAATCAATTAAGTACGGCAGAATTTGGAGCGGCAAAAGTTCGGCAGAGCTTGTCGCATTATGCGACTTTGGAGCGACATTGATTCATACGCCGCTCCACTCATGTGCCAAACTTAATTCAACTTTAGTCTAAAAATAAACTTATTTATTTTGAATTTTATTTAGGTTTCGCTGGCGAATATGCCCAAACCTTGTCAATAACGTAGTATTTGGTACGCCATTTGAATCACTGCCGTTCTTGTGTCGCATCTAATACAATTAAGTTCGGCACATGAAGAGTACGTCGTCTGAAACGGGCCTTATTCTACCTTTAGCTCAAAAATTTAAGTTAGTCCAATGTTCAGCATATTGTAGATAGGGTCGAGTGGTTTATCAAAACACAATGTTTTTAAAAAACCGATTCAATCGATTTTTTTTTTGACAAAAAAACGAAAAACTGAAAAAAATTGGGAAATACTTGAAACTTGCAGAAACAGCGCGCGAAGCATACGTTTGTGTGTTATTCAATCGATTTTTGTTTTGACAAAAAACTGTGTGAAGCATCAAGTATAAAGCGGATCACATCTGTGAAAAGAAGGCGGATTTCTGGCGTATAGCAGTGGCTTACAAACAATTTGTATTCATATTCTGTACCCTGGCTTATTTCAGATGTGTGTAAAAGTGAAAATAAGACTGAAATATTCGTAATTCGCAACCGAAATGGCCGCCATATTCCCCCCCCGGTGTTCCCACTATTTTATGCCTTTGGCTAACTAGTATAGACACATTAAAAATATATTTTCATATATCTACATTAATTTCTCAGTGAGAATTGGAAAAAGACATCCTGACTCGGTTGTTGAAACAAGGTAACAATTATCAAGATTTGTGTACTGCAGTCAAATGAATTTGGTATTAACCCCATGGAATGCCAGCACTTTCCCCCTGACAAGTAAAACCATCTGGCATTCGGCAGAGTAAAATAACAAAGTAGAGCACATTGGGCTGAAATGCAACTTAATGGGTTAAGCATAGCAGAATGCCAAATTTTACTTCTTTCGAAATGAATACTGTTTTTGTAGTTACAATTCAAAAGTACAAACAAAATATTTTGCATCATTCTTGATTTCATTATTTCCAGTTCCTTATCAAGTGTTGCACCGCCTGATGTTTGGTACAGGTTAGCCATCCCGAAAGAAGTTATTGACAAACATTTATTATCAGCACTGCAGCTTGAGGCAATTGTGTACGCCTGTCAGAGACACGAGACAATATTGGGAGATGGTGCCAGGGCAGGCTTTTTAATAGGTGAGTATGGCTGCATTATATGGTTAGCTAAATTCTTTATTAACCATGCTGCAGGGTCTGAAATTTGCAGTATCCCGATATCCACGGGATACTAGGGTGCACCGGAACTTGGTTCCGGCCGGTTAGTTCCTGCCGGAACCCCGATTTTTTAGAGTTCCGGCCGGAACTAGTAAAAAAAGCATGGCCGGAACCGGAACTCTGTTGTTTTCAGGGAGATAGAATATCAAACGTTTTTGTGTCTAACAAAAGTTCACAGTAGGAAGAAAGTTGGACTATGCAAGGGAAATGTACACTATTAACACTTCATTATGACGTTTAACGTTTGTCAGTCTTTTTATTCTGACATTTGCGAACTCTCTACTTGATGATTTGAAGTGTCTGCTTGTCTGGCAGCGGACAAAGTAACATATGACTATATATGGCTTAATAAATTAGTTCCGGTTCCGGCCGGAACTTTTGGATACCAAACTGTGAATGACTTATATCCCAACTGGATACTAAGAAAATTTCAAACATTAGGAAAATGTTAAGCACCTCTGACAGTCTCCTGATAGCTTTTGAATTCTATGAGTTTGCCACTCAAGGCTTTCCTCATATAATGTGCATTTTTGTGGATTAATTAATGAATTGTCTAGTTGTTGACAACTTGACTGAACATTGAATCTCCTATTGTTACTGTAATTTGTAACAGCGAGAGTTGTTGGATAGGACAGGGTATAATATTTATGGTAAACCAGTATCCAGAAGTGGGATACTGCATTCTCAGGGGGGATACTAAACTTTGAAGCCTAGTATCCCAGTTAGATACTGAAAAGATGTCATACCCTGCATGGTTGCCTGTAGGTGATTGTCTTGATTACTCTAGGGGCCGGTTGTTCAAAGCTGGATTAGTGCTAACCCTGGGTTAAAATTTAATCTGCTGTTTTAGTTTGTGTGTTTCTGGCACATCTGTTTATTTCAAAACTTCAGAGAAGTAAACTCCTATCGATCCAGACAAGATCTCTGAAGAAATATTTCCAAATTTGTAGACAAGCTATCGGGAAGTTTGCTTTGAATTTTACGTTAACCTAGGGTTAAGCTTACCCAGCTTTGAACAACCGGCCCTTTGGTATTGTACTCTGCAGTGACCATGGAGCAGAGATCGAGAGGGGCCATCCCCATTTTTTTCCATGTAAAAGGAAAAAAGTCTGTTGATATGTATGGTTGAAATAATATGACCACAATAGTCTTTGTGCTCTTGCACTCCCCCACACACTTCCCCGCACACTCTCTTCCACACATGCTCTCAAAATAATAATATATTCATTTTAAGGGGATGGTGCTGGTGTTGGGAAAGGTCGTACTGTTGCAGGTATGTATATTCGTATATGTGGTTGTGTACATATCATTGATATACACAATTATTCTTTTTCTGCTGTAATATTGGTTGTGACGTTTTGACTTTTAAAAACTTCAGGTATAATCAGTGAAAACTATCTACTTGGCAGAAAAAGAGCTGTATGGTGAGAACTTTTTCATATTTGTATATGATTTCAGTAAAACATACAGTAAATATAATTTTGTCTATTACAGGTAATCTACGTGAAGCGTTCCTCTTTTGACTTTGTAACTCATTTGGAATTTTCCTCATTAGCTTTGCAAATTTGAAAAACTCTTCACAAATCCCTTGAGGGAATTTGCAATGTTCCTGTTTTAATTTCCTAACTTCCTGTTCTGTTCTGAGCGTTGTTATTGGTCGATTATTTTTGTTGGCCAATTGCAACGTCCAGAACAGAACAGGAAGTTAGGAACTTGTAACAGGAAGTTAAGAACTTCTAACAGGAACTGAGGAAAATTTAATTGGCTTTTAGCAACATTGCAAATTTCCTCAAGGGATTTGCAAGGGACTTCTTCAAATTTCAAAAGTAATGAGGAAAATTGCAATCAATTTAGAAACTCAAAAGAGGAACGCTTCACGTAGTTTACCTGTAATTGACCATTTGCATAATAGACTAAATTTTGATCTAAACAAGTTTAGACAAAAATTTCATCATAGCTGGAAAGAGCATCACAAAATAAGTAATATTCCAAAGTTTCGTTGCGAAATGTTGTAAAATGCGGAAAATATAGCCTTTCGAAATTTGCAATTTTCAGTCATTTTAGATTACAAACGGGAAATTGGCAGCCTCGAAAGGTTTGGGGCTGTCAATTTCCCGTTTGTAATCTAAAATGACTGAAAATTGCAAATTTCGAAAGGCTATATTTTCCGTATTTTACAACATTTTTGCAACGAAACTTTGGAATATTACTAATTTTGTGATGCTGTTTCAAGCTGTGATGAAATTTTTGTTGAGATCAAAGTTTAGTCTATTTAATACGCAAATGGTCAATTGGTTCAGAAGTGAAATCGTCTTATACTCAATCATTGTTTTTTACCACATCTAGGATGAGTGTATCCAATGATTTACAATATGATGCCGTTCGGTACGTTTTTTTTTTCAATTCTTATCATGTTTATACTTGTTTGAAATTTGAAACAATTGTTTTACTTCTCTTCATTTTTTGTGTGCTTAGGGATCTTCGTGATATCAAATGTAATGTAAATCTCCGTTCTTTAAACAAGGTATATAACGGTGAAAGTTGTGTAATGCCTAATTATGTCTGCCATGTAGAAGTTGACTTTGGAAACCAGTTTGACTCCACGGAACACCGCATGCTTTCTCAAGCTGCCCCGGTTTCCTTTTGTAGTAACACCGGGTACATGTAAATTAAGGGATAGCCCTTTTTGGACTTCAAGGGAGAACAGTTTAGAACTGCCAGAGGTATTCAGTATAAGTAAAGTTAGTTTAGGTTTCCTCCTGTAGTAATACTGGATCAACAAGAGATTACCATTAACTGGATCTCTGGGGAGAACAGTTTAGAACTGATAGAGCTATCGAGAAATAAAGTTAGTTTAGTTTAGATTTTTTCCTGTTGTAACACTGGATCAACAAGGATATAACACTGGATCAAGGCTCAAGAGGATATAAATGATAGAGCTGTCCTTTATATAATATACAGTATATATGTTCTAGAAATTGAAAGTATAGTGTATATACTGTATGTACATTGCAGTTGTATAAAAAGAAACTTGTTTTCCCATATATAGTTTAAATACGATGCAAAATTATCTTCCAAAGAGAATGGTGGCTTTAAGAAAGGTGTGCTCTTCACCACATACTCCTCCTTGATTGGAGAAAGCCAGGGAACGTCTAAATATCGTACAAGACTTAGTCAGATTGTCAAGTGGTGCGGTTCTGATTTTGATGGAGTTGTATCCTTGTTCATTGTTAGAATTGGTCTGATTTATAGTCGCGACACGCCATCACACTATCTTTTCTTTAACCCATTGAGTCCCATTGTGACTTAAATAATGCACCCTACCTCAATGGGAGAGTGCTAGCTGGTGCTCAATAGACCTTTCCCCTTTTGAGTGAAATTTTGATCCAGACAAGAATGGACAAAAATTTCATCACAGCTTGAAAGAGCATCACAAAAGTAGTAATATTCCTAAGTTTCGTTGTGAAATGTTGTAAAATGCGAATAATATAGCACTGCGAAGTTTGCCGTTTTTCAGTCACTTACAAACGGGAAATTGGCAATCAGATGATCAAACTGATTATCAATTTCCCATTTGTAATACAAAATGACTGGAAAACGGCAAACTTCGCAAGGGCTATATTATCCGCATTTTACAACATTTCGCAACGAAACTTCGGAATATTACTAATTTTGTGATGCTCTTTCAAGCTGTGATGAAATTTTTGTCCTGGCTTGTCTAGATCAAAATTTCACTCATAAGGGGAAAGGTCTATTCGTTAAGTGCCAATAATGGTTTAGCCAGCTACTTCATAGTTCGTAAGTAAAATAATCTTTGACATTATTGTCTCAAATTCTTGGCATAACCTGCCATGTGTGTGTTGAAACCTTAAGTCTAAACACAGATAATTCTAGATGAATGTCACAAAGCTAAGAACTTGGTACCAACTGGTTCTTCTAAGCCAACCAAGACTGGTAGAACTGTCCTGGAACTGCAGGAGAAACTGCCCAAAGCCAGAGTGGTGTACTGTAGTGCCACAGGTGAGATGATGATATTGGTGGTGGTGATGATATTGGTGGTGGTGATGATGATATTGGTGGTGGTGATGATGATATTGGTGGTGGTGGTGATGATATTGGTGGTGGTGGTGATATTGGTGGTGGTGGTGGTGATATTGGTGGTGGTGGTGGTGATATTGGTGGTGGTGGTGATGATGGTGGTTGTGATAATGATGGTAATGAAGATGATGGTGGTGGTGGTGGTGGTGGTAATAGAAAGATAGTGGTGATGGTAATGATGGTAATAGAAAGATAGTGGTGGTGATGATGGTAATGG